ATTATTATTATTATTTTTTTGTTGTCCTCTTGGTTCTAAAATTTTGTCTTGACTAATTTGGACGACCAGCGTTATATACTTGATTTTGGTGGGTGAGCCTTCCATCAGGGTTTTTTTCTACATACACAATGACTCAAACTCGAGACCTTACTTAAGTTATATCAAACTACTTACCACTTAAACTACTCCATGTTAGTTGACGTGAATTATTTTAATCATATGGTACAAATTGATGTTAATCTGAGAAACAAATGGAAATATATGTCACAAATGGAAATATATGTCATTCTAAGTATTAATTTTAGATAAAATAAATCTTAAAATATAATGTTAAATATAACTGATTTCGTAAAATTTACAATAGTAAGTCACATTAATAAAAAAGAAGGGCATGGAAATTTCGTGAGAGGATAAGAATAAGACAAAGAAGTGATGGTAAGGAGTCCCTCCCCGCGGCCCACAGCTCTTATTCTTCTTCTTCTTCTTCCCATCTCATCTGGAATCCGGATATTACTAGCTTAAACCCTCCTCGATTTCATCTATATATTACTCCAAAAAACTTTGTCCTCATTATGCCTACTCCTACTTTCCTCTTCCTCACCCATCTCCGTATCTTTTAATTCCGATATTTTCACCTCACCGAACGATTGCTATTAAAAGCTTCGTCCGTTATCTGAATTTGTATCTCAATTACCCCTTTCCAACTCTTTAAATACCACCAAACAAACACTCGTAATTAGGGTTGTAAAATCGGGCAATCGTTCAAGTTTCAGTGGGATCCTGACAGGTCGGGTAAAATCGGATACAGATCAAGTTAGGTAAATTTGAGACCAGATCCAGATCGGATTCAGGTCAGGTCAAATCAGTTCGGGTTATTTTCAGGTTAATTTGACACCAGATCTAGATCAGGTTCAGGTCAGGTCATTTTCAGTTCGGATCGTTGCCAGGTCAAGTCAAAACAGTTCAGGTCCGAAGCAGTTAAAAAGCAGGTTAATTCGGGTTCGGATGGACTTCAAGCGGATCTCGTTCAGATCGGGTAACATCATTGGCAGATAAAATTCAGGTCGGATCTCTATCTGATACGGATTGAGTTCAAATCAGGTTATTTTTTATTTTTGGGTTAATTATTTTCGTCTTTCGCGAACGTTGAATTGCAATTTGTAATTGTATATGATTTAGAGTAAATTATTAATAATATAAATAATCATGGTTCAATTTTAAGAAAAATACAAATTTAAGAATTAAATTGAACAAATATGAAATTACAAATAAAAATTTAAATAAATTAAACAACACACATTGATGAGGGATCAAATCGAAATAATTTTAAATTATGAGGTTGAAATTAATACAAAAAAAGTACTAAATTATACCCATTTAAAAAGTTATGGGCCAATTAAAAAAAGAATTAAGTAATAAGTATGGATCAATTTCATATGCAAATAAAATTTGGAGGACTAAATTGAACAAATATGAAATTACAAATAAAAATTTAAATAAATTAAACAACACACATTAATGAGGGATCAAATCGAAATAATTTTATATTGTGATGTTGAAATTAATACAAAAAAGTACTAAATTATACCCATTTAAAAAGTTATGGGTCAATTTAAAAATAGAAATAAGTAATAAGTATGGGTCAATTTCAGATGCAAATAAAATTTGGAGGACTAAATTGAACAAATATGAAATTACAAATAAAAATTTAAATATATTAAACAACACAAAAGGGATCAAATCAAAATAATTTAAAATTTTGAGGTTGAAATTAATAAAAAAAAGTACTAAATTATAACCATTTAAAAAGTTAAGGGCCAATTTAAAAATATAAATAAGTAATAAGTATGGGTCAATTTCAGGTGCAAATAAAATTTGGAGGACTAAATTGAACAAATATGAAATTATAAATAAAAATTTAAATATATTAAACAGCACAAAAGGGATCAAATCGAAATAATTTTAAATTTTGAGGTTGAAATTAATACAAAAATATACTAAATTATACTCATTTAAAAAGTTATGGGCCAATTAATAAATATAAAAAAGTAATAAGTTGAGAAAAAAATTAAAACAACTAATATATATATATATATATATATATATTATGTATAAAGCATAAACTATATATACCATGTATAAAATATAATACTATATAGCTTATATATGAACTATTGAACTATATAGAAACTGCATAGTTTATATATAAATTATATATGAATTATATATAAACTATACAATTTATATTTATATATTATGTATAATTATAAATAATATATATTGTATAAATTATATAGTTTATTAATATAAATTATATAGTTTATATATATATATATATATATATATATATATATGGGGCCTAGGGTTTAGGGTTTATATTTATATAAACTACATACTATAATTTATATTTATATACTATATTTTATACTATTTATATAAACTATAGTTTATATTTATATACTATATGTATGAACTATAGTTTACATATAAACTATCTTTAATATTTACATATGAACTATAGTTTACATATGAACTATATATATAAACTATATAGTTTACATATGACCTATATATATATATATATATATATATATATACTATAGTTGATATTTATATACTTAGTCATACCATGAAGTTATGGGAAAGGGTCATAGAGGCAAGTTTGAGACAGGTTACTAGGGTTTCGGAAAGTCAATTTAGCTTTATGTCAGGCAGGTCTACTACGGAAGCGATTCATCTACTTCGACAGCTTATGGAGAAATATAGGGATCTTCACATGGCGTTCATTGACCTTGAGAAGGCGTATGATAGCGTTCCCCGCGAAACGATCTGGAAAACCTTGGAAACAAGACGGATCCCAACTACTTATATCTGGGCGATTCGTGATATGTACTGTAGATCTACTACATACGTCAGGATTACAGTTGGTGACACCGAGGCATTCACGGTGGAAATCAGACTCCACCAAGGGTCATCTCTTAGCCCTTACATCTTCGCCTTGATTATGGACGACATTTATTATGAGGCACCAGATGGTGTCCCATGGTGTATGCTTTTCGCTGACGACATTGTCCTTGTTGCTGAAACAAAAACTGTGCTGAATAGTAGACTGGCTACCTGGAAAATTACTTTGGAAGAAAAAGGTCTAAGGATCAATATTGAAAAGACAGAGTATTTATGTTTAAACTTCAGTGGGAACCAAAATGATGAAGATGTAAAAGTATGCATAGAAGGACACGTTCTCCCCTTAAAGGATTGTTTCAAATACCTAGGGTCTATGATACATAAAGATGGGGGTATAGATGATGACGTTACACACCGTATAAAGACAGGATGGCTAAAGTGGAGGGCTGCTACTGGAGTTTTGTGTGACAAGAAGGTGCCTCTAAAACTAAATGGAAAATTTTATAGAATGGAAATAAGACTAGCGTTGCTGTATGGATCAGAATGTTGGGCAGTCAAGAAGGATCACGTAAGGAGGATGGAGTCCGCAGAAATAAGAATGCTTCGATGGGCATGTGGTAGGACTCTGTGGGACATGACACCAAACTCTGCAATTAGGATGTCATTGGGGGTGGTATCTGTATCCGAAAAATTGAGGGAGGGAAGACTAAGGTGGTTTGGGCATGTCCTTAGGCGACAACCGTCGGAAACGGTTAGGAGGGTAGAGTCGATTTCAGTCGACGGTGCCAGAAGGAGAGGACGACCAAGGAGGAAGTGGGTAGACTGCTTGAGAGCTAATTTGAATGATTTAGCCCTTACCGAGGACATGACCTCTAATAGAAAAGTATGGAGACTTAAGACCAGAGTAGTTGAGTAGTATGGGTCACAGCCATTAGGGTGTAACATCTCTGTCTTCTTTGTAATGCCTTTGTAGTAATTTCCAGGACTTCTACTTTTTATACGTTTCTGTCATTGGATTTTTATGAAGGATTAGAACTAGGATAGAAGAGTAGTGTTGCCTTAGTTTAGGTTTTAACCCATTTGACTTTTTTCCTTATCGTAGCTTGCTATCGCTGACTTCAGGGTACCATTCTCTTCATTTTTCCTCTTTTTGAATTTAGTCAGGTCTTACGTTTCTGTCTATATGCAGAGATTTCTACGCAGAGATTTATTTGTAGGTATTACTTCACATTACAGACGCACATATGAAGACAGCATAAGAAGACTGTTTAACTATGTATTTATATAATTATTTATATATTCATTGTATTGTATCTTTATTTTTAAATTTTCTGACTGTCGGTGGTCTTCCACGGAAGCTGCTCTCAACCTGGCGTTGGGTGCAACCTACTACACTACCTCCCTCTTACCCCCATCATACATGGGAATAGGGTTTTATTGTTGTTGTTGTTGTATATATATAAACTATATATACTATATAGTATAATTTACATATGAACTATATATAAAAACCCTAAACCTAAACTATACATTATATAGTTTATTATTATATATAAACTATATAATATATATATACTATATGGTATATATAAACTATACATTATATATAAACTATATAGTATATATAAACTATATATTATACAATTCATTAGTATATATAACCTATATAGTATATGGTATATACAAACTATATATTATATAATTCATTAGTATATATAAACTATACAGTATATATAAACTATATATTAATTTATTAATATAAACATATATATTTATTGAAAGAATTGAAAAATATATAAGGATCAAATTGAATAAATTTTAAATATGAACCTTAAATTAATAAATTATAACTTTAAATTTGGATTAAATTGAAAAAAGTTGAAATATAAACCTTAAATTAATATATTAAATCATTAAATTTAGACTAAATTAAATAAATTTAAAATTAAGAGACAACAATACAATGTCAAATAAAGTTAAAAAAACACTCGGATTTTCTCCCTCGCTTAAGCCACAAGGCTACCCCAACTGTGGCGCCAAAATCAGCATCATTTCCCGCCTGATGATTTTAACATAACCATGGCTTCTTTATGGTTGTCCTATGAACTATTGTCATCAGAATCTCTGGGACCGATGGATTCCTTCTCCAGATGATTTTCCTCACATGAGCCTTTGTTTCCCTAGGCCGAACGGGTAGATACATGCGAGGCGTTTGCAGTTTGTATGAGCAAAGCTACATTCAACATGATCTGCGAGGAGCTCGAACCGGCGGTGATGAAGAAGAACACGATGCTTCGAGATGCGATCCCGGTCCGTCAACGCGTGGCGGTTTGTATTTGGATAAGTATAGCTAGATTTGAAGACAACGATCACCCTTCTCTGTTTTTGCAGAAATAATTAGTTTGAATTTAAATTTAAATTTAATAGAATCGAATAGGTAGTAAACAATGGTTTGGGCTTTGCTTCCCGTCGATCCTTCTTCAGGCAAGTAAAGCTTAATTGAAGTGCTACTATTGCTTCATTTTTGTGTTGCATTATTTTCAAGACTGAAACCCTATTCCATTTGGGCAGCTGAAGAAATAGGAGAAGAAGATAAGTATTATATTTTCAAGAACGAAACGTATACTGTGGGTCGAAAAGGTTATCGAATTTGCTCTCTTTCACTTTCTTTTCTTTTCTTTCTGTGAGGAAATTATTAGATTCTAATTTTTGTTTTCATTTTGCTATATTGGGGTTTGCTCTCCTTTCCTTTGTATTTTGATTTGTTGAAGGGTGTGATGTCATCATTCACAAAGACAAGGGCGTGTCCAGAATCCATGCTCACATAATGATCGATGGAATGACTCAATCATCTCAAGTTACAATCAAAGATTTGTCGAAGTACGGGACATTCATTAACAAGAATCTCACTTCTAACAAGAAAGTTCATCAATTTCCTAATAAACAGACCTCTCTGGAAGATGGTGATCTTCTTTCTTTTGGAACTGGAAATGCAACCTTAAGGTACTGTCAATTTAACGATTCCTTTATTTCAATGAATTCAGTGATTTCGTACCGAACGACTAAATCCTCTCGCCCCTTGTATATGTTCAGATTCTCTTATGTGCCACTTGTATTCTACATCTGTTGTGCTGAGGCCTCTCAGATGAGTCATTATCTTGAGGACAAAGTTTCATCCATTGGTTAGTTAAAATTTATCGTTTTGGCTTCAATCTTCATACAGCTTTTTGTCTCATAATTTCACATTTAAAACTTGTTATTTTTTCTTTTAGCCCTTTTATCCGCATTCCGAAAACATTAATGTTGCGTCTAGAATTAAGAGAGAAACAAAAATTGATGGAACCTGAACCTGGAGTTCTTTTGTTGTACCCTCAAGCATTTTGCTTACCATGCTAATATGGTCTGGGTGTTCTAAAAGATTGTCATTATTTCCCTGTTTGGTATGAGCAATTGTCATTATGTCCTTGTTTGATATGAGCAATAAACAAATAGAAGATGCTCAGACAATCAACTTCTCTCAAAACTAGGTGCATTGGGGTTGAAACTAATTTTGGAATTTGCAGCAATCAGCAGAAGAAACATTTTTTATAAATTTATCTAACAGCTTGAATGATCCGAGCTTTTAGCGATGGTTTCTCCACCTCTTCTGGACATTTTTAATATGTTTGGCTAGGCCTTGAATTAGAGCCCTTTTTATGTTTTTGTTACAAATGGAGATAAACGTCTATGAATCAAAGCAGCTTATTTAAGTAATTTTTATGAATTCTTCTATATTTTTGTTTCTTTAATAGACAAGCTAAAAAAGGAACAATTTACTAGCATTACTTATATAAGGAAAACTGTAAATTAGTTTCAATAAAATCTCAACAATGCAAAATTTTAATTTAATTAAAAAATTATAATTACACATTAGATTATCAAGTATCAACATATTATTTGTTGAGTGGCACCAAGGTTCATTGTCTATACTTTTTTTTTCTCTGAAAAGATCATTGTCTATAATTGTTCTTAAAGAATTGTCACTTTGTAAAGACACGTTTAGGGCTCAAATACTGAAACAGAATGTAGTAAACATCCTCTTAACTCAAATGGATTTTTTTGCCTTGTATTAATTTAAAAAAATGACGGTACATGATGAGGTAAGTTTCAGTTACGTGAAGAACTAAAGTATGCTGGAAAATGAAAAAAGAGTGAAAGAAAATATGAAGGCTTAAGCTTTTGTTAGCTAGAAATCAAATCAAGTTAAGTGTTTAACCTGCCAAAATGATGCACAGTCAGCTTTATATTGCTCAATAGTTGCTGAAAGTTTTCTGTTACTGCTTGTTTGTTAATATCTTTCATTTCTTATTTCTCTTATCCGTGCTTCTATTATTTTTCAGATTATTACATTTGATAGCTATGGTGTTTCGGGTCATTGCAACCATGGTGATGTGCATCGTGGGGTAGTGTAAGTTAAAATCATTTCATATTCTTCAACTCAATTGCACAGAAGTAACATTTTAATTGTTCATAGCATAAAGCATTAGAAGAAAATAAAATGTGCTATTGCCTACATATAACTATTTAATGATAACTCACCTTTTCCATAATTTTTTCATTATTATTTGAAAAGAGAATATTTAATTTTTCTTTTAAATTTTTAGGGTGTTTAGTGGTCCCTGAAACTATTGGAATTGGATATTATGTCTTATTTATTCCCTTCAATGGTAACTTAATATTTTATATTTATTATGTTTATTTAATAAAAGTTTCAAATAGTTCATTAATATTTTTTTTGTAGGGTGCCTTACAAGAAGCAATATTTGGTGCTTGATTCTGCATTATTCTATTTTATATTGTTTGCTTCTGTTTGATATTTTGTTTGCTTCTACTTGATATTTGTAAGGGTTTGGTAAAGTCGGAAATGTTTGGCATTGTTGGCCATCGAATTCCCTTTGGCTTTACCACTGATTGTATGTTTTCTTAATGCAATTTGCTTGCTAAATTGATGCAATAATGCTTGATGAATTGGTACATTGATGTTTTCCGATTGTTGTTACCTACTCATTGATGCCTTGTAAATTATTGTTGTTGGTGTGACTTAAATCAATTTTTTAACCTTATAAATTCTTATCTAAATAGTTGTTCATGTGGAATTATGTTGGTGGCATTTTGAATTTTAAAGCTAGAAAGTTGTCCATAATTAAACATGTTGGCAACATTTTGGTATAAAGGCTCGATGATGATATTTCTAGTAGTATAGTTATGCTTTTAGCCTTGTAAAACATTAGCTATAAGATTTGAGAGCATTTATTTCAACATAAATTTATTTTGTTTAGTTGATTTTATTGTAATTTTAGTGTTTTCAAGTATAATACAATTAATTTCATTTATAAATTTTTTGTTTTTAGTATTTGTAATGTTATTCAAGTTTCAAATATTTAATAAGTTCATCATTTCAACTAATATATTTTTATTTTAAAATTTCAAGTTAAGTTATACTTAAATTATTAATCAATTTTCACATTAAAAGTAAATTAGATTTATGAAAATTTTAACTTTTTTAATATAATTTAATAAAATCAAGTTGAATAAGACAATATTTAAAATTAATTTAGTGATAGTAAATAATATTTATAATATAAGAAATATAAATAATATAAAGAATTGGAATTAATATAAAAACCAAATTTATAATATATATAAATTTATAATTAATATAAAAACTAAATTTCAAAAAGTAATCATATTAATTTAATTATCATAAGTTTATTATAAATTTAAAATAACATAATTATATTAATTGTAACTTCACTTATAAGTCAGGATAATATCATATCATTTTAACATGTCGGATCATTTACAGGTTGAGTCAATTACATAGGTTCATAACAGGTCAGGTTGAAAACAGGTCGGGTAATATCAGTTATTTACCAGGTTAATCTCGGGTTTGGGTTATATCAGTCAGATGCAGTTGGTTCGGGTATCATATTTTGGTTCAATTTGAGTTCAGATCATTCTCAGGTCGGATGCAGTTCGAGTTCAGATACACAATTTCCAAGTCCAATTCGGGTTCAAGTCAACACCAGTTCCGACTCGAATCGGTTTCGGATCACCACAGCGCAGGTCAAAAACAGTTTTGACTTGAGTCGGTTTCAGTCAGTTTTACAGGTTGGGTCAGCTTTTTACACCCTTACTCGTAATCTTAATCCATCTCCTCTGTTCTTATAAAATTCACTCTTTCTTGTTTCTTTTTTTCCCCAATGGAGAAAGCTAATGTTGATGAGAAGTTGAGAAGGCTGAGAGCATGGGTTCAAAACTACGAGTGGGGAAAAAGTGGGGCGAAGGCGGAGGTGGCGAGGCTCATGGCCTTGCACTCTGTGGCTGAGGTCTACTCAAACAAGCCTTACGCGGAGTTTTGGGTGGGACCCATAAATTGTGGCCTAGTGTTTTGGTTGACGGTGATCAACAAAATGTGGGTTTGACATTGAAAGAGTGGATAGAGAGGAATCCGAATGTACTGGGTTTAAGGTTTTGGAAAATAGGGCTCTCATCTCCCTTCTTATCAAGGTTTGTTCATCCCTGCTTCTTTTTAGTACGGAGACTTCTTCGTAATCTACGTTGAATTTTGACTATTATTACCATATTTAAATATTAAAATCTCAAACAACAGAAAATTTTGGCAAAACTCACGAGGTAATGCTCTCAAAATAAATAATTCATGGGATATTGCATTGGAAGGATTAATTGTTGAGATAGGGTGATTTTTACAGTCCCCACGTATGTCGCCAAGACATCCATGCAAGCTGTGGAAGCTTTGCATGCGCCATGCACGTCGGTAGAGGTTGCCATGCACGCCCATCGACCTGTAAGTCGCCATGCAAGTCCCGCAACATGCTAGGTCGCCATACAGTCCCGACGACCAATGTTCTGCAGCCTCTACCCGCACATGCTGCTGCTGATGCTCCCTCATGCACGTGTGATTCCTCTTCTGCATGCAGCAATAATAGTTGCATTATTGCAGGATTCACGGGTGGACTAGAAATTATTGTTGCATTAATTATTGCTACAATAATTCACGAGTAGGGTTTAGGGAATGACAATAGGGTTGTTGTTATATATTCGGTGGAGGCGGTTGTTCGATTGTAAGAAGGAAGAAAGAAAGGTAACACGAGCATAATTTAAATTAGTTTAAATTATTAGTTAGTTAGTTAGTTAGTTAGTGGGAATAGTTTAGGTTAGTTATATTACATAACAAAATTTTAATTAATTATTTTGTTAGTTTAAGTTAGATTAATGTTGAAGAAATATATTAATTTGTTTGTTGAATTATTAAATTAATATACATGGTTTATTATATGTCGTTATTTTATTAAAAAATAATTATAGTTTAAATTATATTAAATTTTTTATTATATGTCGTTTAATTTATATTAGTTTGTTGATGTTATATTATATGAAAAAAATTAGTTAATTAGTTATTTAGTTTGTTAGTTTAAGTTATGTTGGATTATAATAAAAAAATAGTTTATTAGTTTAAGTTATTTTTTGTTCTTGTGTAGTGTAAATTAGTTAGTTAACATTAGATTATATTAAATAATTTTTTAATTATTGTTGTTTAATTTTTTTTTTCAGATTCATTCGAATGACTGACTAAATTCCACTGCTGAGACATGGTAATGAACATATTTCTACTCATTTGGGAATACTGGTGTTATTCTTATTTAGTAAATTAAAATATATGTTTAATGAATTATTATTATTAAATATTTGAATATTATTTTATGATTGTGATAAATTTTTTGAATTATTTAATTGCAGAAGGACGAGCAGCGAGTCCTTCGTCATCGGTTAAATATTCCGCCCAAGCCACACCGATTGATAGAAGAAAACTTGCAACAGGCTGGATTTTACTATGTAACATTTCTGCGAGAATACAAGTTGGTCCCAGGTTTGATCAGTGCGTTGATTGAACGTTGGAGACCATAAACGCATACATTTCATTTGTCGTGTGGATAATGTACGATAACTCTGGAGGATCTGACAATGCAACTCGGTGTCCAAACAAATGGGATGCCGGTGGTAATGAAAAATGAGTACAATAATGTGGAACAATTTTACAGTGTTTCTTGGGAAAACGTCGATAATATTAGAGTGTAAAGAGTTGCATGTGAAGTTGTCATGGTTGAAGAATCAATTTCAGCTCCAACAAAATAGTACGGAGCAAGAAATTATATATGTAACATGAGCATATATATTACATTTGATTGGAGGAATTTTGATGCCAGATAAATCTGGTAATTATGTTCACACTTAGTATCTTCTATTTTTAAGAAATTTTGTGAAAAGTATGCATATAGCTGGGGATCGGTGATATGGCGATCTTGTATCGTGAGATGTGAAAGGCGTCATTAGTCGTGAATGATAATAATACAGTAGAAATCGGTGGATGTCTGATGCTGCTACAATCATGGGCTTGGCATAGACTTTCGTTTTTGACACCGATTAGTCGGACTGCGGTTGACTTTTAACTTGCCGGAAGGTAATATGAATTTTCTATTTTAATATAAAATATTAAGTATAATTATTTATTTTGATTAAAAATGAACAAAATGGCCATATTTTTGTTTTGATAAATATACAGATGGAGACATAAAATTGAAGGTACGAGGTTGGTGCACAACAATATTAAAGAGTTTAGGCTGAAGATTGACATTAATGGAAAAAATGAGGTATATATAATTTGTTATTGTTAATTATTATTTAAAATAATTATATTATTTGATTTAAATCAATTTTATTGTTATTTTAATTTTACAGTTTAATTGGAGATCATACGTAGATGCATAAATTTTGGCGTGTGTGTCGTGCGATATTTTTTATGGGTGTCAATATTAGTGTGTTATTACACCATGATCAATTTGTTTTTGTGAGATCCAATTTGAGGATTGAGTGCTGAGGCAATTCGGCTTCTACCAACCTATTCCGCAGAATACATGGGATCATGACCTCTTCCAAAACTTAGATGGTCGCCGTCAGGTGAATTGGGTTGAGACGCATGACCACCTTCACAAATTTGATGTTCGCTGTAAAGAAAAGGTGAATTGGGTTGAGAAGCATGCAACTTACATTAATGCTTGGAACAATAGGGTTTCATTCTTGTCAACTCTTGACCCCAATCAAGACGATGACTTTAATTTTGAGACTTCAGCTTACCTTGATTATTTTTGGGATAATGGAAAGTCGTTCTTGACAACAAGGGTAAAAAAGCGACAGTTTTTAAGGTTTAAGAAAAGATTTGGTAAAGCTGAATACTCTCTACCGAGTGGGAGTTCATCTCAATAACCTGAAGCGGAAATAACCCATGTGGATAATAGCGTACCACAATCATTCGGCGATGCGAGATCGTTGCATCACGCATTTGATGACTCTAATGTCCCAGCATACGTACCAGAGTTTGCGCAGCCTGAGGCACCCATTTACTCTCCCATGTTTGAGTCGACGTATGACTTTGACCAAATGACATCTATAATGTCAAATACCAGTATTTGTCAGTCAACGTTTGAAAGTGGGATGTAAGAGCAAACTGGT